ATATCAGTACAAAACTACTGTGCAACAATACCCACTTTTTTTTGCAAGATTTATAATTTAATAAAAATAAGGTGACTTCAAATGTATATTGCTCCCCTTAAATGTACCAAAGACCTTTGAAATAAGTTCATATTTACTGAAAATATTCCCATTTACCTTACAAGTATTTACTACATGACTAAGAAACCCAAAACACAGACTCTCGTTTAGTATGTTAATTTTCTGCTGGTGCAAACAATGCTCTACTGATTTAATGCATGAGCAAAAACAAAAAAGGCAAAAAAATTCTATTACAAAGAAATAAAATACTACATTTTCAACGTATTTGTATCATAGAAAATACAGGTTTCCTTCATGGACTAGGAAAGGCCACCTAAACCTGTAAATGTTTTTTTGAAGATTCAAAAACTGCATTAAATCTTCATTTACTTTGCAAAAGCCAAGGGCCAAGTTAATCAACCTTAATGCAGCATATTTCGAGAAGGTCATTGCATGAAAGGTTAGATTTCCTGTGTTCTATAAAAATTCTACACACTGGAAAGAAAGAAAACAAAATACTAAACACCATAATCACATGAAACAGTAGTAGCACTACAGACTCAAACCCATTATTGCATAGTCTCTAGTCAAATTTTCCACGGTGGACTTCAAGAATATTGTGCCAATGCTCAGAAACTCAACAGTTAGTAATGGATACACTTTAGAATATACATTGTGTTTCACCCAATGTGGGTGATCAAAAACTTTCTAGACCATTCATTTATCACCTCAATTTAACACACTGGTTTTGTTCATGCCGTTAAAAATACTGACCACTGCAAGTCAACAAATGCTACATCCCTTCTTAGGCAAACAGAAATAAGCACATGACTTGGCAGTGAACTAGAACTGATCATGTTATATTGCACTTGGGAATTAGAAGCTAGAGATTCAGTACCAAAGAGTTCAAATCCCACTCAAGACAATAACAGTTATTACAGCTCAGTGTATAATCATGATCCAAATGTGGGGTTTGTTCGTGATAGGAGGTCACTGCCAACAGAGAACTAATGGGCTTTACCCATCTCAGAAACAGACAAAAAGAACAACAAAAGAACTCATCTCTCTGCTGCAAGGCTCGTCTGTGGTCTGCCACCACCTTTTTATTTTTTGGATTTCCATTTTCCTTTTATAAAATCCCATTTTTTTTCCTCATTAACAGCCAGCAGCATTGAACACAAACGGTCACATTCAAAGCCAGTTGCAATGAATGTCAGGTTTTCTGTGACTTCATTAGACTCTGGAATAGGTCTTAGTCTCAGCTGAAGACAAGAACTGACTAGACTGTCACCAGGGTAATGCTGCTCTGTGACTATCTGTGCTATTTGTGAGGGTGTAGGAAAATATGCTGCAGGGCCTATGCCAGGGTAACCAATAGCAAACCCAAATTTTGGGGGAAAAACCCTAAAAATCTAAGTGCGACATGAATCCTTCAAATCACCAAGAACATGCTGATTATAGCTGAAATATTTTCAAAATACCCATGAGAGTTTACATTAAAGACTACTTAAGCATGGACTCAAGTTTAGAAACAACTACATGTTAAAAATCTTTGCTTGGAATAAATGTTTTATAAAGAGATCATATATAGGAAACTTTTCTTAAAGTTTCCACAAGCATTATGTGAATCGAAGATCAATGTGTAAATCAAAATTTCAAACAGAAAAATAAGACAAATAAAATTATAAACTTTATACTGACATCTGTGAGCATGTCCTCAAGGATTTCAACTGACATTGATAAACGTACCCTGTATTTGACTTTGCAGTTATGCTTAAACAAAAGCTATCTACACAGTTTGGTAGTTTCTTGAAAGAAATGTAAACCTATAAATTAGGTTCCTTGCTTTACTTTTTCTAAATATTGTCAAATATAGTAATAGATAATATGCATTTTGTAAATCAGTTCTTAATATCGATCATGAGATGCTGCAATAATTGCAAACTGGAGTACTTACAGAATTTCATGTTTCATTATAAAAGATATAGCTCTTGTAAAATGTTTTCATTCTCTAAATAATTACATAGCTGTTGATTTTATATTCATAAAAATATGCTTCTGAAACATGACTCTCAAAAGAAGACTAATACTCTGTTACTTTACTTTTTTTTTTTTTTAAATGCTTATATTATGCATCTTGCACACATCAATTTTGACTCACGGGCATTAATTTCATTCCAAAATACATTTTTTTAAAGTTTGTTTAGAAGTTTTAACATCATTCTATAGTATTTGCTATAAGAATACATCAATGCCTGTAAGTCAGTATGAAATCTATTTTTTGGATTTTTTTATTTACAGGATAGTCTCTAATCTTATTGCTGAAGCTAGAACGTGATATCAAAGGTTTCCTGCACCCTTGTTCAGGAAAACACCCCGTTCAAAATTTTCCTGAAACACAAATGTTACTTTAAACTAAATTTGGGGTGTTATATCTATGTTCAGTAAGTAACCTGTGTACTCCATTTACATATGCTACTGTTGTTTGTTTTTTTAGCCAAACTGGAAATTAGTGGACATAGGAGAAGCGACTATTTGCTTTTATTCGCCAGTAGAATGCAAGAAAACAAAGATCACTTAAATAAGTCTTACTTTATGTAACTTCAATAAATGGAAGAAAGTTTCCGTAGCTACAGTAGTTGTACCAATAAAATGTACCTTTTTATCCTGAAAAAATCAGCAAAATGAGAGCTTCCAGTTGCCACAGTAAAATTTACATGCAGTTAGCACTGGTATTAACAATGCTACGGTATCCCTTCCGTGTAAGCTGAAGAGATCTTGGTCATGCCTTTTTTAAAATTTTACTTTCATCTCCTTATAATGCCTAGACATGCAAGTAGTCTATTAAATTTCAAGTCAACACAGTGTATACATGTAATGAAAGCACACATGTAAAGAATTAGAGCTATAATCTGTCTGACAGTCTCTTAAACCTCTTAACCTACTAAGATTAAGACTGGGTAAAAACAACCTCCTTGCTTATAGATTATCAGTTGACAAAGTGTGTGAACTAGAAGCCTGTGTAAGTAACTGAAATTGTATTTTATAGAAGTCACATTTTGAGGTCAGGATCAAAGCGTGACTCCTGATTCTGTTCTATATGCCTAGTAACAATACTAGAAGTAATGACAAAAATAAAATGCTGGCCACACTGAAGATCTTGACAAATCAGTGAAAGCGGAATTATGCCGTATACCCTCTCATATAAACTAATCATATCTAAACAAATTGTCTAAAACAAAAACATGTAAATGGATAAATATGCAAGCCTACATCTGATATACATACTGGCCCCCACAAACTTTGTGCCGTCTCTCTTAATGATTCAAACGCCATCACGGTTCAGTGAGTGAGAATGGACTTAACAACGAAAGCCATTTGTGGATTCTACATCTCAGAAAGGATGCAGAAATAACAGTTGAATCAAACTGTTCATTTTGGCCAATTCTGGGTTTGCTGGGCATTGCATTATTTATGCAGGAGACACAGCTTTGAACAAAAGCCCCGAGATAAAAAAGCAAACCAGAGTTTTGTCCTTTTAAGAGCTTGCCTACATAGAAATCTTCCTGGTATAATTACAGAAGTCCTCCTTTCTGTATGTGGCTGCATACAGGGAGTTTATAATGTAATTTATTCCCTTTTTGGAATAGGGAATAAACAAATCTCATACAAGGCACCTTTGTAATAGTTAAAGTATGTCCACTCCAAGATTTCTGCAACACAGCTACACGTGGTTGCAAGCCAAACAACCTCCCAATTTGCAGTTACATGTCTACCAAAATATCTGTAAGACAACATTCTTGTGTTCTCTTGTAGGTATAAAAAGCTCCACTTTATACCACACCAGTACTAAAGGAAATAAGCTAAGAATGACATAAACCCATGGCTTTAAACCACTGAACTTTTTAGTATGTTTAAAAAACAAAAATGAAACAAAATATTTAGTGTCTTCTCTGGTAATGAAATGTATTGAATATAATGAAATGTCCTGTGCAACGAAATGTCTTTGTGCAGTGAAACGTACTATGAATGAAACAACGAACGAATTAAATGAAACAAGTCAAATCAACCTCCTCTTTTCAAACCCTTTCGCACTGCCAGCTATGCTCTGCTGCTGTACTCTGCTTCATTAGACAAGCCTGCTGTTCTCTCAGGGCAGGTGGCAAGGCAGGCGTGAGTGTGGCTGAAGTACTGCTGTAATCTAGATACCTTTGGCTGGCAGGTAGTGTAGTTTAAACAGTCCCTGTATTACTCCATCCTGAACTTGGACACTGTCAATCCCAGAATGTGAGAATTAACAACAGCTTCCTAACAGTGCATCAGGTAACCTGTCATCAAGTATTCCCTCCGTCGCTTTGCCAGAAACGGAAATTCAACCCAAGTAATATACAGACTTAACTTCAAACCCTGTGGAGGTTTGACTTGTGAACTTAAAGGCTACGGGTTTCCTCATCAGACATGTCTGTTGGCAGCCACAGTCCAACATCGTGTCCCTGTCAGTACCTGAATGGATCCATGCCGCCAGGAATTCTGTGGAACAGCTGAATCCTGCTCCATGGAAATACACAGCAGAGTCACTGGATCCTGCCCTGAATCTTTTCACTAGGTCCCATAGAAAGTACATCACCCCCAGCTTTCTACTGCTCACTTCTGTTCCTGTAGGCTCTGTCCCTACAGTAAGAGACCTAGGGCCTGGAAACAATATTTGTAAAGTCTAGAGGGAAACCACAAGACAGATGACTGAGCAGGACGGGGAACAGGCATGCAGAATAGGTATCGGATGTGAATGATTCCACTGAATAATCTCTTTCATGTTTTTTTGTGCAGGAGGAAAATTATCAGCAGAGTTAACCGGTCAAAGAATATTCTTCAGTTTTGTAAAACAAGCTATGTTCATTTTTTTGGTGCAACTAGCTTTCAAGAGCTAGGAAATGAAATGTAGTGTACTCCAACAAAAATCAGTTGAAACTAAATGTGTAATCCAGCAAGTATCTATGGAAGCTGTTAGCTTCAAGAGCAAATGCAGAATTTGTGTAGCAATTCATGTAAAGTTGATCCATGAATCAAAGATGATGTTTCCTACATCCCAATAAGCACAATCATAGCACTACATATTACTTTTTTCACACACAAATCAGTGCAGACACGTTAGTCACATGCAGAAACATAATTAATACAAAAACGGAGGATTTAAGTATATTGCTCTTATTTTGTATGTGCTGATACCTTCTGAGACCAGTAGCTTTGCAGTCATGAGTGTTTTTTTCCTTAAGGGGAAACCAGTATTTGTAACCAAGATGTAGGCATTTTAAAATTTCAGAATGTCTTACAGATAAAACTCTGCTTAAGCTTCTGATGTTCCTTCCCCATTCTCATGTGGTTGCAGTTGTTCTCTTTCTTGCTCTTCCTGAGGTGGTCTCACGCGTTTGAAAAAGCCCATCTGTGATTCAGAGAACAATAAAGAAATTGCATTGTCATTTTCAAAACATACACACATCCTTTCTCTTACTCTTTCCTTCTTGATCAGATCTTAACTGATAAGCTATTTGACTTTTTCCCTCCTACTCTCTTTTCCCCTATTTTTGACCTCCAAAGTCAATAAATATCAGGGGAAAAATTAAACTGAGGAATTCAGCACAATCACAGACATTCTCTTTTATTAAGCATCTTCCTGACAAAGCTGAAAAGTTTTTACAGTTATCCAAAAACTTAGATGATTCAGATGATATGGGGACCAAGGTATTTCTGCAAGGTGCTAGTACTCTTTGAAGTAATACATAAAAGTAGGGAAAAGAAAACAATACAAAAAACCCAAATACAGTACTTACCCTGTACATAACAAACACGAGAACAGCCAAAAGCAATAATCCTGCTAGGACAGCCAAAATTATAACCCACACTGGCACAGGCATAGGCTGTGGTTGAATGCCCCATGTAATATTTGTAGCAACCTAATAGAAGAGCACAACAAATCACACTTTGCTCAGCAGGGATATGCCAAGTTCACTCATGCAGTTTAAGTTTTACATATCTTTATTCTCTACAGTATAAAATAATCTTAATCCATCATAAATTACTTTTTATCGCCAATGTGAGTAAACAGCTATAGATTAATAATGCCATAAAGGCTTCACTGACCCAAATTTAATAGGGTTTTCCAATGAAGTAAAACAGGAGTTTAGGGGCTTGGGTTTTTTCCTTTGGGGGGTTTTGGTGGGGTTTTTTGTTTGGTTTGTTGTTTTACTATCAGTGATACCATGGCAACATGTATTCTGTAATGCTTAAAAACTTTCAGTGGAAAAGGGAATCTGGAAATATTTGGGAATTGCAGAAAAAAAATTCAGGGCTCTTCCTTTTTTTCTTAAAGGGCAGTATTCGTGAAACAAAAAAATCAACTCCACGAGGCTTAGGAGAGAAGAAAGAGTTAATAACAGGCATTAGAAGCCACATTAAAAACTAAATCCATCACAATCCTTTTCAACTCCTTTCTTAAGATCTTTTATGTTATAGTGCCTACCAAACACTTTTCATTTGGCAGCCCAAATAAATGGCCTATATCTTGGTTTCTGCTTGCACCCTGTCTCCTTTCTCTTTGAAACCCTCTAGGACACAGATGTTCTTTTTGTTCCACATTCACATAGTACTTCATATAATATAAGTCGACTATTCAAGCTCAAAGGGCTACTAAAGCAGAAGACAAATTTCAAATAAAATATTGCTCTAACAACAATGGCATGAACAAGAACATTAGGACTGTTTAGCATTTTTTTCATTTTCAGTTAACTCTCTAAAGCTACAAATATTAACTCTAGTTTTAGGACAAAAATATTTTGTTTTACCCTCAATTGTATGTGTAGAACTTGAAATTGATATATGAATCAAGTGTTTGATAAAATTACAATTATACCAAGCCACTAAAGTCTACTCAACAATCATTGTTTTTGTATTAATTTCCAAGCAATTATGTATGATAACTCAAGCTGGATGTAAACGACTTACTACTGTAGAATTGTGGATATCTTCAAAGGAAAGGTTCTTATAAGGGAACTCTATAACATTGAAAGAAGCAGACGATTTCAGAGAATAGGAGTGATTCTGATTTTCTTTCTGTGTAAGAAAAAGCAAAATTAGTATTGCATGTGGATACAAAAATCACTTTTTATGTTTCACAAGAAGGGACAGAATATTTGGAGTCACTCACATTCATGAAAGTTTGGGTCCAAAGGCGTGATTTTAAATACAATATTGCGCTCTTTCCCCTTTCCAGGTGACCAACTTGACAGACTATCTTTAAACAATCAGCAGTTCCACAGCCCTGCATATAAAAATAGGAAGGATATTTCAAATATGAAAATATATGAAAAGTCATTAAAGGCATTACTTTACTCATATACATACTTCATTGTCCTATTTTCCTGGAAAAGCACCATAACATATTCAAATATATTAAATAAATCCCAATACGGAATAATTACTTATAGCGTCCATAAGTCTGCATTCAGAAAAATATTACGTGAGCCACTTGAATCCCAAAAGTGAAACAGCTGGCAGTAGCTTTAAGGTAGTTTATCTACATAGGTAGGAAAAAATGTTGGAGATCGGAGGAAGTGGTTTCTGATTGATTCACATAACCATCCTCCACATCTTTTCTGACAGGAAAACTCATGGCAGTTAACTGCACTTGGTGCAAAACAAAAGCAAAATAATGCTTTGTTGCGTTCAACGGAAGTCTTCAAACTTGACTGACTGACCTAACCTATAACTTAGGACTCCAGAAGTTCAAGTGGATTTTCTCAACCACATTTCCATTAAAATCCATCAGATAATATTGATGCTAAACCATCAGGATTTCAAGAAGAAAGCCAAGAAACAGAAGGCTTTCTTTTGTAATTGTGATTTTAGCTGTACAATAAAAGCACTGTACGGTGTAGGTACATCTGCCAGTGTAAGTACAACTCAGTGAAATTATTATGAATACTGGATATTAGTCTCTGGGGTGAAATCCTGCTAAGTCATTGGGAAGGTCTGGCAAAAAACAAGGCCTTTAAAAACAAAAACAAACCAGAAACTTCAGAACTGTATTTTACAGATAATGTCGAATATTTGCAGCTTATATCTAGGGAAAAAAAAAGTCACTTTTCTCAATCAGAAATTAATTCCTATTTTCACTTTCTTTGCTCAGCCCTTTTTTTGTCCTCTCCAAAGCCTAAACATTTCTGGAATCAGGGTTGTACTGCCTTAGTCCCATTTAGTCCATCCTACACGCCCAAGCATTTCTCTCTGCTGCCTTGCCCATAGTGGAGATAGGCTCATTTCTGCAAGCACAGTTACACAGACTGTGATATGGTAATGTATTTACTTCATATTACAGATTATTTCCAGTCATGTTTGGAAAGGACAGGTTCTCCACATGTCTGACTGCGGAATGTCAGCTGATAGCTAGGAAACACATGTTGTGAAATGAACGGTCATGTGTGGGCAAGATGATGACTGCAGCACTCACTTCTTTGCAGTTATCCTATTTTACCAGCCTTCCTCCTATGAAGTATTCATTTTCAAATTCGGGGAATAGCACAATACAGAACACTGACACTGAATGAAGTGCCCAGCTTGACCTTCGTTTTTAAGGACTTAAAACATAACAGCACAACACTGTAGGCATATGCCTCATTGGCTGACCACCCTGTCAGGTACTAGGAAAACTGATGCATGTTGGAAAAAGAACAAAACAAAACAGCTCCAGAGCATATGATTTTTTTGTCTGTTAACTGTTTAAATGCAGAACATGCATTTTCTGAAATGATTTTTCATCTCATGGAGTTTTCGTAGAATCACAGAATCACTAAGGTTGGAAAGGACCTTCAAGATCATCAAGTTGTTAACCCAACGCCACCATGTCCCCTAAACCACGTCCTGAAGCGCCACATCCACACGTTTTTTGAACACTTCCAGAGATGGTGACTCCACCACCTCCCTGGGCAGCCCGTTCCGATGCTTAAGCACTCTCTCGGTGAAGAAATCTTTCTTTCCTAATATCTAATCTAAACCTCCCCTGGGGCAACTTGAGGCCATTTCCTCTCGTCTTATCTCTAGTTAGTTGGGAGAAGAGACCAACACCCACATCGCCACAACCCCCTTTCAGGTAGTTGTAGAGAGCGATGAGGTCTCCCCTCAGCCTCCTCTTCTCCAGACTGAACAACCCCAGTTCCCTCAGCCGCTCCTAATAAGACTTGTGCTCCAGACCCCTCACGAGCTTCTTTCATCTCACTGGTAAAAAAAAAAATGAACATATTATCAACATGTCAATGTGAAAGCTTACCAAAGTATGCACATCTTCTTCAATGGCAGTTGTATCCCTTCGAGTGATGCGATGATCGTGGTTATCTTCCCTGCTAAGTGTTTCATTCTTGTCATCATCTTTAGAAGCAGAAATCTAAAATACACAAGGAAGCTCAAATAATACATAATTCTTAGATTTAGAGATTTGCAGGCTTCAAAGTTAAGGTCAAGAAAATGTATCATTGATCAGGTTCCTCTCTCTGTGTCCTAGTTATTCTTCAGAACTTGGCTTTACCTACAGCTGTAATTAAAATGTTACTCCTGCCTTTTGTAGATCACTGATACAAATTTCTACTACTCCTAACACAGAGCCTTGAGTATCTTAATTCTTCTTCAACTCAAAACTTTTCCATGTGTAAAAAATAATTCTTAGATTGCAGTAAATAATTCAATTTTGCAATCTTTTATTAAAGATTTGTCCTCAACATTTCCATTTTTAAGTCTAAAAAATTGTACTAGTACGGTACTGATGTACGCATACCATTGTACATGTGTACACACGGCCAGACATACAAAAACTTTTTTAGGAGGGGCTTGAAAAAGTATACAGTAGGTTTAATAAGTTATTTCAGTAATCCCTTAGAAATCCACAGTGTAAAATTGCAAATTTACATGCAGGACTAGGCAGGCATTCATTATGTCCTCTACATAACAAATTTATGGAAGAAAACTTACAAAAGAGTTGTGAAAAATGTATTATTACAGACAGCATAGCAAAAGCATAGGAAATTTGTATTTATATATGCACTAAAGTTGCTTTCTGATTATCAAATACATGAGTATTCTTTATTGTTCTATACATGGAATATCTTCCTTTAGTCTTTTTATACATCTCTTTATTTAAATTCTTCTAGAACTAATATACTGGTTTTTACAACTTGTTCTAAACTGTCTTTGAATTCAGCTCTGTACTGTCAATCAAACTTGCTGTGTTTTATCTGGTGTTCGTCTAGTTCAACTTAGGAAAAAGGAGTTTCTTCTGCTCTGTGCTCTGCAAGCTGCATGTTTTGCTGGCAGTGATAGCATAGTTTCAAGCCCCACTGAAACACCCTTATTGACCTCTGTGACATTTGGATGAGGGCCTAGAAAAATAAGCTAGTAACAGAAAAAATAGTGCCATTTTCTTCCGAGAAATAAACCCCAGAAAATTTATATAAACAGCCCAGAAACATCTGGAATGTTTTTGTTCACAACCTCATTCAATATAATTCCACTGCTTTGGACTTACAAGTCATACAGTACAGTCTTCAAAAAAAAAAAAACCAAAAAAAACCCACCAAAAACAACAAAAAAACCCACACATCCAAAACAAAAGGAAACAAGACAAATTTATCTTTGGGTTGACAATCTATTGTCTAGCTTTTATTTCTAAGTAAATTATTATCAAAGTATTAACAGTGCAGGCTTGTTCCTCAGCAATAGATGAAAACTTAACTCGGTGTTGGATATTCTCAGGGATTTGGGCAGTTTGAGTGTGTTTCCATAACAAATAAACATACTTCATTCCACTCAAGCAAAAAGAAAAGTCCTGCTTACCTTAATTTTCAATGGATTGATTTCCATATCAGAAGTGCAGTTCATAGGCCCATCAATTTCATACTGAACAATATACAACAGTGTGTAGTTTTTGTATTTGTAAGGCCACTGCAGAGTCATCATCACCTTGCTGAATGCACTTGGACCGTTGTTCCTCAGCTGATGATGCAAAAAAGTTAAGAAATGTAAAAAAACCAATGCCACCTTCTTTGTTAATGTGCATACAACTGTTACTTTATGTTTGAGCCATAAATGAGGCTGCCGCTACCCCTACCCCCAGCCAGTTACAGTAATAGCATCGACAACTTCACCTAACAAGGAGAGCCAAACTTCAGCCCCTCAGCAGGCAAAACTTAAAATTGCTTCTGTAATTTGTTAAATATTACTTGGAAGAAAAGTTATATGGCATTAATTTTTTTGCCTTGAAGAGATGTAATTTTTTTTCCTTGAAAAATTTTATTTCTTTTTTTAGTGTATTGCATGAATCACAGCCATTGTACGTGTCTTAGCCCTAAGATACTCTGAGCACAGATACATACACCCGTCAGTTTCTTTAGATAAATGGTCTCTTAAGTTCTAGAACAACTTTTAACTATTCTTATTCACACAGCACTCTCAGGACATTTTGTTTAATTAAACAATCCATATTAAAGCTGTGATCATTCTTCTAAGGAAAGTTTAAGTATTTTTTAAGAATTTTCAAGGCATAAGACTTTACAATAATGATCCATAACAGTTGGAATACAAATGAGGATAATACATAATTTACAGCCCTGAGTCATTTTCTGGGTTCAAGTTACTTGAAATGTTTTATCTAGATTTCAAAAAGGCCAGAAAATAAAATATGTGCAATAATGTAAAAAATCAGCCTCTTCTATTTGGGCCACTCCTGTTACACTAATGGCAGGCATTTCAACCCTTCTTGAAAATACCAATTACTGACCCAGCATAAAAAAAAAACAAAAAAAACCCAAAAAAACAAAACAAACAAACAAAAAAAACCACACCAAACCAAAAACAAAAAAAAAAAAACAAAAAAAAAACAAAAAAAAACAAAACAAAACAAAACAAAAAACAAAAAAAAAAACAAACCCCAAAACCCAACTTTGTTCCCAGGCAAGAACAAAATGAAGGAAAAAAAATTATCATTTACTCCAGAGAAAAGCTACTCCAAAAGATTTCTTTCTTCTCCTTTATCACAGAACTGTATAATTGAAATTAGTAGTAATTGCATACCTCATAGATATGCTGAACTAGAGGCCCAATATCATCTTCTGTTTCTGGATTCTCCTTCGGCTGCCAATTTGCAATAGGAAGGAATATGTGATCAGGAGACGACACACTAAACAGTGGAGCAAACAAATCATTATTATTAAGTATGAAACAATAAATGTCATTCTCTAGAACGTCTCAAAACAATCAACGTGCTTAAAATACAATCTCCCAGTTTTCATCCTCTGTATATAAAACTACAAAGAACAGAGGCTGAGTGGCTTGTATATTAAATATTCATTTTTCTTCTCTACATGAAAAAATGAACCTTGTATTTAGAAAGTTTTTTACCTGTCCTAAACTTTTGATTTGTCCTACAACATCTAGTAAACCATTAACAGAATTAATACATGTCACACAAAAAACACTAAGTGTGAAATACTTCAATAATGAGAAATATTGATGATGTAAAGACTCATCAGTACAGTCCTAAGAATAACTTAGCATGCACTGAAAACAGTGAAGCTAGCAATAATGCTTTTCAGTTCTGTCTCTCCCTCACCTCTCAAATATTAACAAAATTAGATCACAATAATGCATGTAGTGGAAATTTTAAAAAACGACTACTCAGGAATCCGAGTTAACTGGCTAAGCAAGAGAACGGTATAGCTTTAGATGTGAAGTATACATTTCTGGTAAGCAAAATGGAGGTAATGGAGTCATACAAAATTAATGCTATGCTTCAGACCGAAGAAGGTGAGGGCATTGCAAACTTATCTTCAATAGGATTTTCGACTTTGGTTTTAGAAAAGGTTTCAAGTTTGTGGAGTCTGTGGAGGAGGAAAGTGATCTGGAGAAATGTGTGCAACTGCAAAAGTGAGGAGTGATTCCCCTCCCCCCCCCCC